GCTCTGGAGGACAGTACAGAAAAATAATCAGAGTATTATAACATGCACTTTACACCACATCACAAGATTAAATTTTAATGTATAAATACATCTATATCTGACATGGGTATTTTTATTAAAAATTATTGACTTACCTTAGAAATCGATTTTAAAAATAGTATTTTATAGCTTTCTGAGGGGTAGTCCTTTTGTGCCTCCAGATATTTTAAGACAGTGTACCTAAAATACTTTATTTCTTTTGATCAAAATCCCAAGTTAACTCTTCATCTGATATCAATGATTTAATTCTATCTTGCAGCCTTGGTAGAGCTTAAAATTCAGTAGGATTAGTCAAATTCTACATTTATGATATTCCTCTCATATTCTTTGATTTATAGAAAAGAATCTTTAATAAAGGAAAACCTGAAGCTACTGCATTAGTAGATAACTCAGCTATTCAATCAGTCTCATTCCTTCCTTTCAGTGACTGAAAATATAATTTTTATAATGTCTCCAGGTAATTAATACAAAATTCAACTCCTTGTGGCATACAGTCCTTGCTTAAATTGCAACTAAGATGAGCTTAACTGTCTTGTTCTGAGCAGAACAAAATCCCCATCATACAGTAACCCCCTTCTCTTGCAGAGTCATTCAGGAGTTTCTACCAGAAGTATCTGACTAAGGTGACATTGTGGGGAAAGGAGTCAAAAGATAAAGAGAGCTACACATCTAGATGTTCCTAAGTTGCAGAGATGCAACTATGCATTTATCTCCTGCTTTTATCCCCATGGAATAAGGAAGAGGTGGAGGTGAGGGGAGTGCTGGGCAGTGGAGCACCTCTGACCTCTGGACTCCTGAAATACCCAGTGGCATCCCAGCAGGACTTGTCCACACAGACATCTATACCTTCTACATACTCACTTTTAATGTGTTCATGCCCAGATGGATATTTAGTGCACCGTTTCATGATACAAAAAAAAAAAAGCACAGAAAGTAGTTAGGGATATGCCTGTGCTAATGCCTTCAATATCGACACCACCTGAGATACTTCTTGATCATTTTGCCTGTTTCTGTGTATATTGCCATGGGCAGACAGCTTTGTTAATAATACACATGGTCCAGTTCTGATCATCTGTTGTCATCACTGTTCGCAACATAAACACAACATGCTTTAGCCATACAGTATGCACCTTCAGTGCATGTGCACTCTTAGTGCTAACTTACTCCTATTTGGGGAGCATTTGGAAGGGAAATCTAAAGACCGGGTATATGCTGGGCATGGCTCATCCATGATCCACAGGAGCAGCTGTCGAGCAGTCCTAAGGCAGATCCATGGCATTAACTAGTTTATTATGCACATGCATACTGACATTCAAGCACGAGTGAGGTGAGAGTCAGTCTCTTTTCCCCGGTAACAAGTAACAGGACTGCACAAAATGGCTTTAAGTTGTGCCAGGGGAGGTTTTGATTAGATATTAAGAAAAAGCTTCTTCACTGAAAGGGTGGTTAGGCATTGGAGGAGGCTGCCCACAGAAGTGGTGGAATCACCATCCCTGGAAGTGTTCAAAAGGTGTGTGGATGTGGCACTTGGGGATACAGTTTAGTGGTGTGCATGATGGTGCTGGGTTAACGTTTGGACTTGATCTTGCAGGTCTTTTCCAACCTTAATGATTCTATGAGTCTGTGATTCGAGAGCTCAAAGCGTTTGACTTTCCATGATATCGTTCTTTTAACACAGTCTACATGAAAGGATCATCCAATCCAGTATTATTTCTCTGTGCAAATGGAAACAAAACAAGTCCAAATGCTTGGAAACAATAGTGTTTTTCACCTCATCTTTCAGAGCAAATACATTAAACTCCAAGACTCAGCACTCACAGGTGCTGAGGAAAAAACAAGTGTTTCTTTTCTCACTTATTTTTGTGTGAACAGATAGTTACAGCTAAACACATATCATCTCAGAACACGAGATGGCATGATTCATACTCCTAATCAAGAAAGGATTATCAATATGAATCATATTCCCAGCAGACTGCAACTGGTATATTAAACGTATCAATAAGCAGTGTGTTCACATCTTGACTCTGCTTGCCAGAAGGCTTGTATTCTCCATGATGAAGTACAGTTTTTCCCATCAGTAAGTCAAAAGCTGGAGCCACTCTGCATTAAAACATCTGAAGCCAGACATCTATTAAAACATTCAGAGACATGGGCAAACATTTCTAATACACTGTGATAGCTGGCAGAAAATTTATTCCTGGTATCTCTTCAAAGCTGGTGATGTAGATAATAAATAAACTCAAGAATAAGCTAAAGAATACAAGAGTACTCTCTTAAAGGAAAAAAAAATTAACACATACATAAGTAAAATGTATAAATATGAAACACTTTTTTATGTTTTGTGCCAAAATTCGTGTTAAGGCACTTTCATGGAATCCAATACACAGCAATATACTTGGAACCAAAGAATATATTTATATAAATAAATAAAAATAAGTAGGAACATCGTATATAAAGGTTCCACATGTGATCTCATGCCTTTTAGATTATTTCAGCTTTAGAACCGGTCTACATACATCACACTGTGCCAAATCTATGCTTTGTTTTAAAACTTATTGTAGGTTATATGCTGATTTATTTTAAAAAATCATGATGATGACTATGATGGCAATGACAATGATGATGACAAAATATCAAGTCTTCCTTGCTTCTTAATATTTGTTACTATATCAATTGTCTTGAAAAGTCATTGCTGTGATGTAAGAAGATGTCTCTCCAGTTGTATCCAACTCCCCAACCACAACCTCCAGAGATCTTCAAGGTCAAATGTTTTTGTCTGGCATTTTTTTCAGATTTCTTTTCCAAATGGTATTGCAATGTTTCCTCCACAAAGACCTACTGATTCCTGTGTTGATAACTCAGAATTCAGGAGATTTGTTGCTAAAATCTGGGTAATATACAATTTTAACAAGTTTTGATATACTGAATTGGATGCAAGAAACATAAATCCACAATTCTGAAGGTCTTTCAAAGTGTCAGTCATTATAGAAGAAAGCACTTGATGAATACATTTGAATATGTTTGCACTGCATCTCTAGGACAACACCTGGATGGAAAGGCCTTTGGTTAGAGTTTCATTACCTTCAAAGTTCATTATGGAGATGGATGATATTGGTTAAATTATTTGCTATGATCTACTGGTGGAAAGCATATGCTTTGGACTGCTGTGCTGGCAAAAAAAAAAGGAAGCAAAAGCAAGTGTTTGTGGCCACTTAGTTTTGCTCCTAAAGACTGAAGAGAAAAAAGAAAATAAAATTTTACAGAGGGCTTGTAAAAATGCCCAGAATTTGCCCTCTTAATGAGATGACCTTCAGAAAGTCCTCAAGTGGCAATAGCAGGAGCATTATTCAAGCCGAAGGGAAAAATACAGCTCCTACCATTCTGTTTCAGAGAGGCAAAGTGAAGACAACTTGGCATACCCCAGCAACAGATAAGGGCAGGTAGAACTTGGGAACTGTACTGCAGATCATGAGGTTCTACTTGGAACTGTGAGAGCATAGAGGGGCCTGCTGCTGACATACATAGGATTGAAGAAGTAGGATTTGGAATGGCAGTTGGAGTTTTCATGTGGTAGCAAAGATCACATCAGACTTTTTTTTCTGATTTTCTAACAGCAGGATTTCCTTTCAATTCAAATCTATATGGATCAGCTATGGATCATCATATATGGATCATCCATAGAGAATAAATAAACACTGCTCCATAGAGAGTGACATTTGAACTGTTTGCAACACTGTTTTGCTGCTTTATGAGCAATCTCTTTCATAATCATGGATGTTTCCTGTAGATAGCCAGGGCATTCAGAACCAAACCTCTACCTTATGGAGTCAGAAAATGCCTTGCTTTCTTTTTTTTTTTTTTTTCTTTTCCCCTCTAAGGAATCCAACGCAAACTGAATTTGCCTGAAAGAACTGAGTAGCTGGATCATCTTGTTCTGCTTTTGTCTGCTAATGCTACCCTTAAGCCAAGAATAATTAAAGTATGCAACCTCTTGAAGATACTTTTGTCCTGGCCATGTGTTGGAGAACTAGACAACACAGTCACGTCTGCCTCACAGAATAAAGTCTGCCAGTTCCAGCTTGGTTCTCCACGTCGCTCTGCCAGTCTTCCCCCAACAATGCAGAGACTGGAGCAGTTTATTTGACTCAGTAACCGGTTCCTGTTGTCAGAACTGAATGATCAAAGGGAAATTGGCAGGACATTAGTTTGGCACCATCACTAAAATTTGTCGGCATTATTTCATTGAAAGGTTAAAAAGTTTAACACCTCTGGCTTCAATATTTATCATTTACAAGAATGTGAACTGGGACTGACTATGCAAATACAGTAGTAGTTCTGTAGAATAACAGAATTATCAAAATACACCATTAAGAATGCAAAACACATGTTGAGATTTTCCTTTTAGCCTACTAAGTTGTTTTTTGTTTTTTTTTCTGCAATAAATCTATACAGAATAAATAGATTACATTGTCTTTGATTCTTCTTATCTGTACTGCAACACATAAAATAATAATGTTTAAGAAAGTATCTAATTCCTTTTACTGAACTGTGCCTTTCCCAAGTGGCAACAAAACCCTGGAAAGTCAAAAAAAAATCCCCACCCAGATAACCAGAAACCATATTGCAGTGCCAGCATTAACAACATAGCCATTCACTTCAAGAGTGGCTTGTACACTAGGTATTTTTCTACTCAGAAATTATTTGTGTGAGAAAATAGAATCTAGGCTTTGATGAGAAAGACTTTCATCTGATAACTGGACTTTTTTTATTTTTATGGGCTTCCACAGTGCCTCCAGGGACTTGTACATTTGAGTTTCTGATTCTCCCATATTGACTAAACACCCTGGCCAGATGACACTGTTGTCCCACTGTCAATCCTCTCTCTTAATGAGATAATCTAACACCTGTTGAAAATCTAAGTGACAGTCAACTGGAAAAGATATAGTCCAAATGAAGAATCCAACTCCCCACTGAGTGTGTTTGTCACTGCTGACCACGGGGTAGGCAGGGCAGGTCATTTAGGATAATGAATTCCACCTGAAATATGCAGCCCAATTCATTTTGCTAAGAAAAGAAAGCAGGAATACCTGTGTTCAAATACCTCCTGACACACTGAAACTAAAAGTGTCCATAGCCTGTAGCTTGTACCATAATATAGTAACATTTATTTTTCTCCTTAACACCATAACTGATCTCAGGGGAAAGAAAATGAAAAATCAGAAAGAAAGCACTTGAAAGACAAAAATATAATTGTTTTGAACATTGCAAATAATGAACAACTGTTACTGAATTTAAGAAGTTCTGACATTTCATTCAACAAATGATCAAAATATCTGAAATACAGTCAGTTAATATTGCTCTCAGACTTTTAAAGAATAGATTAAGCTACTGTTATTTAAGCTACCAGCTCTACCAAATTCTTTATAGAGCCAATAACAAATATATGAGCAAAGCAGAAATATAAGTAGAAGTTACACTTTTTAACTTTAACTGGAGGCCAGACCAGGTGGTGTCAAATGGCACAGCTTCACTGCTGAGTCTCAGCAGAACTGTGACTCCTGTCAATTCTGGATCTGGATGACTCTTTGCACATGATTTGAATGCCTGTTTTTCTTGTAAATGAATGCCTTAAGAAGAGTTTTGCTGCAAATACAGTTGTAGAGTGACAGGTAATTCCTTGCAACATTTCTGTTTACACCACCTTTCAACACTGCACGTTCTACTATGCAACTAACTGCAATCAACAGAACTAGAAAAACTTGAAATCCCACCATTAACCATTATATTCAGTCATAAGGGAAAACCTAACTGATTGTAAACCTAATTGATTGAAAGTCTTAGAGAGTAAGTGAATGGCTGAATATAACAAATATCCTATCAATAGTATGGATCGTGACTTGGATGTTCTTACCCCAGATAAGGACACTGCCACTTAAGTTAGAGAATTGCTCCAACAGGGAATTTGTTGTGGGGTAGAACTAGTAATTATTAATTAAAGAGAGGGAGAAAACAGAAGAAAAAATATCAATTGCAATTTTTATAAGAGACTTCATAGACTCTTCCCATTCCTGTCTGGCTCTGGTACTGCCTTCATCCACCTTCCTCCTCTTCCTACTTGCCCGAGATCTGTTCCTCTTGACAGGTGGACTGGGACACTAGCTTTTCCCATCACAAACGACAGCAATATTTGGTCTAACAATACAGGGAATAGAAATCATAAAATATTCAGTCATATCATCACAGATTAACCTGAAGCGCAACTATTCACTGTACAGCAGTACTTCTCATAATCTGATCAGTATTTAGTTTAAATCAATATTTGAATATGATTTAAAGACAATTAACCCCCCACAATTTTATAGTTTTTCCACTGATATTTGAGACTGCTAGCATTCAGAAAAATGACATGTGAATAGCACTGCTGAAACACATCATGTATAACATAGACAGATGATACGCAAGTGTCACCAAAGATCTCTGTGAATGCAGCTCTATTCTCACCAGAAAGAGCCTTGCTAATATTCCTTCCATCCTACTCTGATTAGATTGCAGACACTGAAAGGGAATTAGCTACCTGCATATAACACCCACAAACCAGCAACCAAACAGCATTCTGAGATAAAAATATGCAGATCTATTTTTACCACAAAGGGAAATAATTGAATTTGAGCCTGAAGGGGTTCTAAGCACACTCAGCCAATAAATCGCATGCCAGAACAAAGAGGTCTGAATACCAAATGAAAATATACACTCCTAACACCCATTTTAGTTAAATTATGTATATGCATGTGTAAGAGGTGTAGGGAGGTGTCCAGTTAACTGCTTGCACATCAGGGAATGCATAAAAGATAAAATCCTATGGTGTGAAGCCAAAAACCTCAACTGCTGCTGTGTTGCTGATACCTGCCATCCATAATGGAATTTGAAAGTAAAGTAGTGAAGTAGGTGATGTGTTACAAGCACAACAAATTCTTTTTCTTTCTTTTTTTTTTTTTTATTTTTTTAATTATATTGAGCAGCTTGGCATTTTATAAGTGTATGTAAAGAATTAATTTAAACCAGGTTCTAGTAATAGCTGGCAAAAGATTTTTCTGACATTGTGCTGCCCTTTTTAAGATTTGTTAGACTGTCCCCCAGTCAGACCAGAATGATGAGCAATTTCTTGTTCAATTTGAAAACAGATTCAAGTTTAGTTATGTCAGGTTCCTTTCCAATTTCGTCTCAGTTTGTTGAACCAGTTAGTTACAAAATGTTGCTACTTAGAAATGCAGAATCACAGACCAGAAAGCACTCTTGGACACAAAACATATAAGATGCTTTTTTTTTTTTTTTCCACAAGATTTCATTCTGATAAGACAGTGGCGATGGAAGCACTGAGTCTGGCTTGCACAACACAGAAACTTCCTGTATATGCTACAGAAATGCAGAGAGATATATTTGTGCAACTAAAGACAATTTTGCAGGTTCTTTATCCACAAAATAAGGGATGACCATAAAATATGGATATATACAAACAGAGGGAATGTAACAAAACAACAAAAAGCATTCAGTATTTATGCAGAAATATTGTTTTCCTCAGGGTCTCTGTCTACAAGGTGAATGCTCCCTGTGATTACCGATTCCTCTTGAGCTGAGGTGTTCTCCACTTGCTTATTTGTGCAATATGGAATGTGGCCACAGAAATACATGTAAATCCATGGGTTGGTGCAACTATTTAAGTTGCCAAGGAGCATGATAATGGTGAACGCTGAACCTAGAACGAAAGGAATAAGAGAGTAAAGAAACACTTGTACAAATAAGTACCATTTTCACAGTCTGCTTCTGTCTGCTGTACCTATTCATATATTAAAGTTAATCTAACAGTAGAAAATTGACATTTTAATGCAGTTTGCAATTGCTGAAGATACGAAGCACACTTTATTGTATGCATTTCAGAGTTAAATAGTTCTGTGTAGCTCTTTTTTGATGTAGCTGCATTAAATTTAAGCTTTTCTACAATTACAGATAGATACAGATAAATACAGATATAGATGTATAAAAATGTATGTAGAATAAGATTCAAAGTCACACTGACAGGAATAATTCTTAAAACAAAGATCAGAAGATTTTTTTTATCAGACAGAGCTATTATCTTCTTTTTCCTTTGTTTTTTTATCTCTGAGTTTAGAATAGGTGAATTTATACAGTCTGCCTTTCACAAAGAAGCAATAGTATAAGTTTGACAAGATTAATCTTGTTTACAACCTGACATTCTTTGATAACTCTCTCAGGCTTGCTGTTTAGCTTTATAAACCTCTGGTTTACAACTTCCAATGCTACAGTGTGTACTACAGAGATTTCAACAATTTGATTTCAATATTTAAAAACAATCAGATGTCTTACAACATCACTCTTCTATCCAGTAAATAAGAAACATTTATCTCATTCCTTTGGATCGTTAATTACTTCTTTTCACCTAGAGAACCCAAATACTGTTGCTATACTACCTAAGACCTCTAAAAATTTGAACCTTTGTGGGAGCACATACTTTTCACCCCACTCTTCATTAATCTTTAAATTGTTAATCACACAAAACACACACATGGTGTTTTGATGACATAACACATTAAGTTCCCTGTACCTAATTAAATAAATGAGATAACCAATCCAGAAATTTCTTTTTAATCCTACTCAGAAGATCACATGTAATTCTTACACAAAAGCAAAGTGCAAACATAAAGCAATTGATGGCAATGTGCTACCTGCTATGCAGTTAGGAATGAGGAAGGAGAGTATCTTACCTTCAGTCACGACACTGGGGAACCACACAGACCACAGCTGCGCAATGAAGAAAGGTGACCAACAGAGAATATATGCAACAACTGTCACCACTGTCATTTTTACTGTCTTGATCATAGCCTTTGAAATACAGTTCACACTGCTTGCTCGGGATGGCAGGACTCGCCTCTGATTTGTTGCTTCACATTCATTCTGTTTTTTCATGTACATATTTCTTCTGATTATTTTGCAAATCTTAACCTGGCATGTGATAAGGATGGCTGAGGGAACGAAGAATATAACTACAAAAATCCAAGTCACATATGCCCTTGGGCCCCACGGCTGAATAAATTCACCCCAACATTCAAAGATACCTGGAGATATTTCAGTCTTAGAAAAGATAAATACCTGTGGTAGGCTAAGAATCAGTGCTATAGACCAGCTGGTGCAAATGGGGATGTTCCAGAGAGCTCTCTTCTTTTGGAATGTGACCATAGGGTAACAAACCGCTTGATATCTGTCCACCGTCATGACCACTATCATATAAGTAGAGGCAAACATGCCCAGCAATTGTAGGTACTTGATAATTCTGCACAAGAAATCTGGCCCTATGAAAACATCTGTAATGTCCCATATGAGTTGAGGCAGCACTTGAAAAAAGGCTACCACTAAATCAGCAATGCTGAGGTGAAGCATGAACACATACATCCTAGAGAGCTTCTTTCTTCTTCGCCACAGCACCAGTATGAGAATAAAATTGCCCACTGATGCTGTCAAAAATATGACCCCCAGTACAGCAATCTCTACTTGAGCTAATTGTTCATCTCTTTCTGGTCTTCCAACAGGATCAGACTGATTTGTCAAACTCGGGAATCTGTGAGGACTCTCGGTCTGATATGTGCTATCCTGCATAGGAAATGAAAAATTCTTCATAGTGCTCAGAAGCTACTTACAGTAGCTGCCACTTACAGCTCAGGTTGACAGCTGTGAAGCACCTGCTGGCAAACAAACCAGGCTGGGGTCCGAGTTTCAGTATATCTTCAAGCAAAACTCCTCCTGCTTGTGCAAACTAAAGCAGTGGGACCTGAATCTTGATGAAATTCTGTCTTGCTGTTGTGCACAAAGGCTTTATATAGGCTCCCAGCAGACAGAGTCTTATGTAATTGCAGAGCCCTCGGGTAGGCTGCAGGGACTGCAGCCAATGGCAGACCGAGACACACAATTGGGGGAAATATATAAATAAAAGGCAAACTTCAGAGGCTCAACATGATTCAATTACTCACTTCAGTCAAAACCCTAACTTGTAAATAGCTGTGGCCAAAGTCATTCTCAAATGACCTTCTCAGGAGACCTCTTGCAAAAATTTTTCTACGCAAACCAGAGAAGCATTCTTCAGATGAATCGGGAGGAATGCTTATACATAGAAAAAAGTTGGGTCCCTGAGCTCAGGCATGTCATAACTGCAACTCCTTGGGCTCCTGGGGCACAACCACATCACGAATGCAGCACAGACAAATAAATGCCTTTCTCCATTGCCCCTTTCTTTCCTTCTCTTTTTGGAGTCACCTGATTCTAAAATGAAAACTATTTGAACTGCCCTAAAAATAACCTTTTTGTTTCAAGATGGGGTCAAGACTTAAAGGTTTTTTCTCAGCAAAATGAAAAATAACACATGTGAAACAAATTACTTTTATTGGGACTCTGAGTCTACTGAGAATTTAACAGAAAAATAAGTGAAAATTCAGTGGGAAATCAAACTGAACAAAAGGTCTCCATGATGAAACAGTTTCCAAGGGTCTTTATTATACTATAGTGCTAAAAGCTGGGAGGTCATTTCTCAGTACCTAAACCTTTTTATTTTTGTGGCACAACTTATATCATGACCGCAGGAAATTCATTGTTCTTCAGCCTTCCAGTATGACTTGCATATTATTAGTTGCAGATAGTAATTTTGAATTAATTTCATTTTTTCTCCCCCAGCCTTTCCCTCTTAATCACAAAAGATTTAATAAAATGAAATCATATAATATGAAAAAGATATTTATATGCAAGCTTATTTGAAGCTAGAGCACTCATATATTTCTGGTTACAGTCAGTAGACTGGTAATTTGAAGTCTTTCTGAAGAAGAAACCATAAAGGTTGAAAGTAATATCCATGCTGCATATAGAATACATAATACTGCACCTAAACTGATGAACCACTGTAATCATGACTGTATTATAAGATCAGCTCAGGAAACTCATAGACAGACTACTACCTCTTTGCCACTAAAGGTTTTCACCTATCAACAGACAAGTGAAGGGCAAAATTCATAAACAGAATGATGAGGTAGACTAGAACAGTTTACAAAAACTCTCCCTCTTTCCCCCTTACATCGCACTGTGGGATGGATGTTAATAGCTTGTGCAAGGGTAAGACTGTGAGAACAGACAACAGACAAGCTGAACAGTTTCAGGAAACTTTTCCACCAAAAGCAGCCATAAGCACCTGTAATCCACACTTGGCTAAACACTGCTGCAGCTGCCTGAGTCTACAACGGCTTTTCTCTAAGACTATGTTGCAAAAATAATCTAATATATAATATATATTTATATATATATAATATATATATATTAATCTAATATACCTGATAATTTTTTTCCTAAATTAAAGCCTATTTGTAGGAAACTTGGATTCCTGAAGTAGTTTCATTTTAGTTTTTTCTCTCATTTTGGAACTTATCTCATTCAGTAGGAAACAGGTATAGCAAGATCATAAAGGAACAAACGGCTTTGTCTTAACCCTCATCCTCCCTTCACCCAGAAACTTGCAGAAGAGCAATTGAACTGGTCACAAGCCATGAACCTCTGGCAGTTCTGATGACAGCAAACACTGTGCTGTGGAGTAGGTGCGCTGATCTCAGGTTCTGCCTTCTGATGAAGACCAAATTTCAGGCAGATGCTCCAAAACCATTTACCTTGACCATCCTGACTCCGTGAGATAACGAAAAGCCAGGTGGGATCTTTATTCTTCTAGCAGGATACAGACCAAATATGTACACCTAGGCAGAGCTAGGTCTAAGTGGGTTGAAACAGAAATACATGAACAGAAAATTAAGCCCAGGGTCAGGCATGGAAAATAAACTTAAATTTCCATGTCATGATCTGAAAGATAAGCAATTATATGCAAAAAGACCAGAATATGCAACACAAGTCAATTCTGATATTCTATTGGAAGACTAACCAGCATGTTATACCAGAAGCATATATTCATACAATTTTTTCACAATGCATAATGTATGGGTAGACATATATTTCAGGCAAAGGTGTTTTATCACCTAGAATCATTCAACAAGATCCATAGGAACATGCAACTCTTCCTACACCTACACACATACAGAGCACACAGTGTCTGGGCAGCAGCTCTGGTGTCAGATCCAGCATGTGGACACAGGTTAAAGGGCAAGCACACTGAGAAACAAGTTATAAAAAGAGTGGTGGACCTGATTGTACAAATTGTCCTAGCGGTGTAAGACTCTATCTTGTATGTAATCAGTTCAGTATATATTAATGACTTCATAATTTTAGAATTTTGTCCTTTCCATCTTTTTCATGCATGCTAGCAGATAGTCAGGATATCATTATAATGAAATTTGTTCCACTCTGGGAATATAACTCACTGAGAAAATTAGGATAACAGATGAAAATGTTTAGGGTTTTAGCCGTTCTTTCCTTCCAGCAGTGTCCTTCTTCCATTGCTCAGCTTAGCTTCATTCTAAACTGTATCTGTCCAAGTTACACTCTATTCCTAAATTATTTGCTTTCAGTAGTGTGGGATGGCACATTTTAATTAGCTACTGCTGAACTTCTCAGTGTGGGCTCTCATCTAATGTTTGTCAGGTAGCTAGAAGGAAGAGATTCAGCTCCCAGATTAAGTCTCAAAATTAGGTACCTTCTCAGGACTTCAGAATCACACAACTGCTCAAGACAGCAACAACAATGAATTTAGAGCATTTTACCAGGGATTTGTCCTGTCAGGTCTTGAAAACTTCCAAGAGCTTACAATCCCCAAACCTCCCTGGGTAACTGGTTGCAAATGCTTATTTTCACTATGAAAGAGCTTTCCTAATGTACCACTAGACCCTCCCCTGATTCTTTACACCTCCTCTCAGTAAAAGTTTGGTTCAGACCTCTTGCCAGCATCCTCATAGGTATGGGAGGGCAATGTTAGGGCCTCTGAAGCCATCTCTCTTCCAGGATGAACAAGCTATATTGGGAGCATTGTGGAAAATATTGTATTCAAGGAATTAGTGATCTTGAACTGGACATATCTGCTCTACTGAGCCTTGTACTTAAAGCCTGTGCTGCTGCTGGTGAACCTTATGATCGAGATGGCACCCCAAACTGTCAGGAGAAAATGCATGCGATTGTTTGCCCCATAAAATAAAAGGCTCCACATTGTGGAAGGAAGGAGGAACACCCAGCACAGATGGCATCTGTGCAGTGTGTTACGGAAGATCCTCTAGATGTTTGTCCGATGCTGCACAACAGCAGAGCTCCCAGCATTGGCAGGGATCTAAGATTTCCTCACTATATATACTTCTGGTTTTTGCCCTATCTTATGAGAACACCTATTTTACCCCTTTATTGCTGTGCCACTCTGGTGAGGAGCACAAGCCCAGCTCACTCAGCTCCCCTCACTAGGTTACATCTTCATAGCCCTATGCTGAGCTCACTCAAGCTCATCAACATCTTTGCTGTGCAAGGGCTCCACAAGAGGCAATATTCCATCCGTGGTGAGTAGTGAGTGCTGAGTAGGGGGGAATAAACACTACCCTTGACCTATGAATTTCATGGGAGTGGTGCGTGTCAACTCCCATTCCAATCTTTGTCTTCCAAAAATTGTATGAATTGCAGTACATTGCAAATCTTTTTACCAAGCCAGGCAAGGAATATATGCTGAAGCAGAAATATGTGCATTTTAGGGTTAAAAGCACTCCACCAGCTTCTAAAACCCAGAAACTGTTTCATCTCATGACAGATATTACTTATTAAATACAACTTGTGAAGATATTAGGTTTGCTCACTTTTACTTTGGAACGCATAAACAAGTTCTAAAAAGTTCCTATTTAAGAAAAGATCAAGTGGGAAATATTGCTGTCTGCTTTTGATGTAAGAAACCCAGGTCTGCCTCTTTTTGCTGTGAGACTCAGTAGATCTGAAGGACTAGTAGATTGCTATTGCACTCGTCAAGTAATGAAAACCAACTAATTAGGAAAAGAAAATCTTCACATGGTTTGTTACATCTCTAGAGAATTTTAGATAAATCAAAAATTACTTCCTTAGTGCTTATGTGATTTTATCTCTTTTCAAACTCTAAAATGTAAAAACAGCTTCCGAGGGACTTGTAGGGTGGAAAGGACTAGAGTATACAGTAAAAGATGCAGTTAAAAAGAAGATGGTAGAAACATTTACTTAATATGTTTTTTTAAAAAACACTTACTTAGTAATATGTTCTAGGGTAGATAAAAAGAGTTAACATAGCATTTCATTGAAATTGCCCTCGTGATAGAGAATACATTTGAGGAGATGTATTAAGTAATATAAATACACACCAGTAGCATGCAATGTTATGAGAAATTCTTCTGGAAATAGTACAATGTCGCGTAAATGGATTCTTTCATACACGAGATCAGCCAAAGTTACAAATGAATACTGTTCAAGGACTTAGCCCGTATCACAAGCACATTTACAACAATGTAGCATATTTTTCAGTATTATAATATTGATTATGTCCAGAACACAACGGATAAACAACTTCACTGTAATTTTTACTGGAACTAAAATTATATATGCCTTGTTGCTTCTGCACTAGTACAATTTCCTACAGTTCTGGATTCTTAAAAAAAAAATCATTAATTCAGTAGTTATATTAAATTATATTATACAAGGTTCTTTGGACCAGGCTTAATGGCGTGCTCCTATATAGTCAGAAAGATACTAGACCAGCTCTATGAAACTAAAACAGCCTCAAACTCAACAACTAAAGGCAATGTGCCAACAAAAAACAGAGAAAAATACATTGCAGACACTATTACAGAC